CTCCACAAAAAAAAAAAAAAAGGAAAGGAAAAAAGGGAAGACCTATAAGTTAAGTGAGACTAGAGACGTATCAGCCAAAAGGAACAGGCAGGCCTTGTTTGGATCCTGACTCAAACAAATCAAGTTAAGAAAAAAATCATTCACAACATACTAAGGGAAATTTGTACACTAATATTAGGAAATAATTGTATGTTTTGGATATCAATGATAGTATTGTAGTTATGTTTTTATAAAAACTAAAGGGATACTAAGTCTTAGAGCTTATACCGAAGTATTAGATTGAATGTATTAAATGTACATGATTAAATGTCCATTAAATTAGTAGAGTAAATGACATGATTTGGCTTGAAAGAATCCAATGAGGGGAGGGTGGGCAGGAAGCGGGTAGGGGTACGGATGAAACAGAATTGGTCATGTTTGCCCCATTTCTGGGGCTGGGTGATGGGTACATTGTGAGAGGAAGTGGGGTTTATACAATTCTCTACTTTTGTGTGTTTTTAATTTTCCACAATAAAGAGGTAAAATATCTAAGCCCAGAATACCCCCTCATTGTATCACCTCCAGGCTTCCAACCTTGTCTGAGACACCTCTCACTCCTGTCACCGCAGTGGCTCTGTGGTGCCTTCTTCATCCCTTTCCTCCCCAGTGCCCACTCTCAGCACTGCGGTCACTGTGCTAAGAACCGGCAGTGAAAGTAAAAGTCAGAGGCCCGAGGTGCCCCTGGCTCCACCTGCCTGGCGCCTACACTGCCTCTCCCCTCATCTCTTCGCTGCAGACGCTGCTTTGCTCGTGGCTCTGTGCACACACCAGGCACACACACTGTGCCCACTTGAGGCCTCCGCCCTGGCTGCTCCCTTCTTAAACACTCTTCCTCCCAGATACCCATCAAGGGTTTGAGGTCCACGTGGAGTCACATGTAAATTTGAAAACTACGTCCCCCATCTGCAGCCCTTCCAGTCGCCATTACCCTGCTTTACTTTGTTTCACCGTAGCGCTTATCGCTGTCGAGCATACTATAAACTTTGATTATTTATCATGCTTACTGTGTGTCACCCCTCTAGAAAGTAAGTTTCTTAAGGGAAATTACCTTTGTCTTCTTGATCATTGATATATCCCAAGTACCTAGAACTATGCCTGGTATAGGTAGGTGCTTAATAATTATTTTTGAATGCATGAATGATCTATTCTGGTGAAGAGAGTCATTGCCCTTTCCATGATAGAAGAGATCCAAGGTAAACAACCCACCACCACATAGCAAACTGGCCCAAGGATCTGACACTCCTTCAGAGGCTCAGGTTTGTCCTCTCTGTCTGTCAGGTTGGGCCCTTAAACCTGGGCAGAGTTGGCAGAGAGGCCTCTGTGAGTGGATGCTTATGTAACTGAGCCCATACATAACCTCTGCACCTTCCACCAATGCACTTCATACACGAGCCCTCCAATTGCTGGAGTACCTAGAGAAAGAGGCTACCTGACATTCACCCAGGGCAGGTCACCCTGTCCTCCTGATTATCGAGATCCTCCTCTGCGGTAGGCCTTGGGTGAGTGTTCATATAAGACACAAGTATTGTCATGCTCTGGGTCCATTCGGAGAGGTCCATCAACATGACTCTTTCCTAATCTCCCAGTTTTGTTCTTTCCAAACCCCTGACCATGTGCCTCCAACTACTAGCCACTGCCCGTGAGTCAGAGTAGATCCCCACCTCTGGATATCTTCCAGGTAAAGTGGACACTGGGAATATCGCTCTTCCTCACAATCCTCCAGGGATGCCCCTGAGTGGGACTACACTGTTGTCATGGTCACCTCTAGCCAATGCTGGCATATTTAAAACAGGACAGATTTTTTTTTCCTCCTGTGTTAGCTGGTGATAAGTAACTTACCATTAAGTGGTAGTTCATTGAAAGAGGGTGGGAGAGCAGCAAACTATGAGCCAGTCATCGTTTATTCAACTTACTGTTGTCATCAGAGCCAGATCTTTTGCAAACCAGTTCCATTTAAGAGCATGCTCAAAAAAAAAAAACAAAAACAAAAACATATTTACTTGAAGAGGACAAAGATTTTCTCCCAAACTGTAGGGTTGTTGACTGTGATCCTTCTGTCAAGGCTGTGACAGACTCGACATAACACCCCTGCCAACCCTGGTACTTTGGGCCCTTGGATATGCTGGATCATAAAAGCCAAGGACAGAGCTGATCGTACTATAGCCTCGACAAGCTGAAGACCCTTTGCCTGTTCATGGGCCCACTCAAAGACCGTAGCTTTATGAGTTATTCAGTTGTTGAGTCAGAGCAAGGCAACCAAATGTGATGTCTATTGCTTCCAGCATCCAGAGACCTATCAAGTGTTAGGCTTCTTTCTTAGCAGAATAGAAGCAACGATTTAATGTACTTCGAAAAGACTATCCCAACATGTTTCAGATGGCCACTTACACAGAAGAGGAAAAATTAGATATTAATAGAAACAAAGACAAAAGTTTCTAACAGCAGAAACCTGTAGATTTTGCTGAGGATAGTAGATCAGGGATGGAGGAATGTAATTCTGTTTGGGGCTAAATAAATTGATATAGGTACACTTGGAAGAGATTCTAGATTCAACGTACAAGCAGCTGGGAGTGGTCCCAATTAGTTTCTCCCTGGTGGATCAAACCTGTACTTAACAGTGGCCTTGGATAAATGAAGTTAACAACAATTCTTTGGTATAATGTAAAGGAAGGAGTGAAAGATTTATAGAGATGAGATTGTTGAAGGGGATTTATCACATACGTCCCACTCACATATACCCTATTTCTCCCAGGAAGATAGTCCTTTCCACACAACGATAAAAAGTACCAGCACCTTTGAAAAGTATCATAGAAACAGGTCAAGGACAAAGGCGAAGACGTTGCTTCTGAAACAGAGTATGACGGAGTCTTAGAGTAGCAGAGACCAATGAAGGCGTGGGTACAGCAATAGGAAACAAGGTCAGAGTGATAATCACAACACAATACTATGACCAACGGGGACATAAAAATAGGCAAGCAGGCCATATCTGTGTAACTTAAATTGGATGCCTGGTTGGAATCAGGACAAAGAGAGCCATGTCCACCTTCTTTGTTGTTGCTGTTCCGGTTACTCTGTCAGTCAGTGTTTGGTGGCAGACAACAGAGTCCACTCAAGCTGATTTATGAAGAAAGGGACTAGCGTAGGGTAT